TGTGGTGTCCTGCCACTGTACTAGATAACCCAATTCTTAAGTAATTGAATATGTTTTGTACAGTTTTAAAGTATCTTCTTTCTCTCTTCCTGTCAGGACTAAGCTGTTAGTTCTGGCTACAGCAATTCTCTTATCAATAATTTTCTCTGTTGTTTCTAATTGCTTCCATTTCAATAAATCTATAGATGACCAAGCTTGTTAACATTTTGAATAAAATGAGCACTAATATATTCTGAATGAGGATTTGAGACCTAAGGTGCTCAAGCTGTCATGCCTAGACCTTGAGAAAGATGACTTTGTAGTTCAGAGGGTTTTGTGTTGTATCTCCTAGTTCTCAGAGCAGGGGTCAGATAGGCTGTGTAGCATAATGAAGAGTTGGTAAAATGCAAAAGCATATGCGCAAGTATACTCTTTTTCATAATATACTAAATATAATTTGATCTAATTCCTTGACTTTTATTGTTATGCATGGCAATATTATTTAATGACTCTTCTGTGTGTATGTGGAAGATACAAATTCTCCCTAATTAGAATCTATTCTGTGTGTGGCTTCTGCTGCTGCTTCCAGCTCAATGATAAAATCCAAATCCCATTCCCTAACCCCCATCATCACCACCACTATCAGTCTCCTCATGCTCAGAGCTATTTTCTCTGTTTTCAGATTAAAGGATTAGGCCAATGTCACTGCCTCATTATTCTTGTTTTTATGTCACCTTTTATTGCAACCAGCAGTTCTCTCTTATCATTTCTATTATTTGGTCCCCACCCACCCAACACTGCCACTCTCTGATTATAATTTTGGACTGAAGTTTCCTAGAGAATTTTGAATATTACATGAATCTTAGATAGACCCAGCAAAAGTGTATATACTGTATCTTCTGTGAAAAATTATTCTAAGATTTCATTCATTAGAATAATTATTTTTTAGTAAGTACTTATTATGCTTAGCAGTTTGTTTTTTGTTTGTTTTGTTGTGAGAATTAATTTACTCTATACCTCATCCTGGATTCAAGAAAATAGTATTTTATATTTCACTATATAAAAGAAGACAATACTATCTTCTCAAAAGAGACCATTCCTATTGCTCTTAGTTGGACCTATTTTTTTCTTCCTTTGAATCTTTGCATAATAGTATTTCATTAATACTTACAATTCTTAGAATCTTTCTTAAACATATAATTTGGACACTAATGGTATCCTCCTGCCTGAAGTAACTAAAGCAATGTCAGACAAGGATTCTGACTTGCTCATCTTTGTATTCCCTGCAGCACCCAAAGAAATAAAATAAATAATAAGCATTTAACAATTATATGAGGGATTGAACAGAAGCACTTGACACGCATAAATGCATAAAGTTACTTTATTTTAAGTATACATATAATTTTGAAAAATATAAATGCTAAAATATCTCATCTTCTTCATCTCTTAATTCCATAAAAGTCACAATAGAAAGCTTCATAAAACTGTAAAATACTATAATGTTATAGGAATTTTAGGATTTATATTGGAAAAAGTTATTAGTAATATATTGAAATGTTTTCTGTTCTTTATCATTTTGTTCCACCATGTTGATCTACTTCATTTAAAATAAAAAGATGCATCATTTCTCTCTCCAAAGTTAATAAAGACTTAAGAGAATAAAAATAAGAATATCTGAAAGTGCGTATTGATTCTGAAAAGTAATGTGTACGAATATGTACCAGCCATGAAAATGGCTAAAAAGAGGCAACTATTCACTCTTTTCACATTGTAGGACTGGGACAAAGTTGCTTCTGGCTCTAAAAGTTTCACTGGATGACTTTAGCCCTGAGTTGCAATATTTGCCTAGGAAACAGAATTCTTGCTTTTTATACGTACCCATAGAGCACAATGAAATGAGCCAGGAAATCAGACATACCTAAATTTCTGACCAAAACACAGCTTAACTGGTTAGAGTATTACAAAACTTTTTTTTTTTTTTCAGGTTGCAATGAAGCTTAGTGAAATCATTTGAAAACTTCCATGGTCTTTCAGATAGTGAAGTGCTATAAAATATCACTTAATTGTACCCAGCCACTTGGTGCCACTGGGCTTCATGCTCATGCGTGAAGAGCAGATGTGAAATATCATGAAATATAAATAAGAATATCTCAGGTTCCTGCACCAAAATCATTAAGTAGTATGAAAAGGATTAAAGAAGGCTTTGTCCCATCCCTGAACAATGTCAACCTCTGTAATACAACTCAAATGGTTTCATTTTGTTTTTAAAATATAGTCAGCAGTCAATACATTTCAAGTACTTTAACACAGTTAAAAAAGGAACCAAAAAACTCGGAAGACAATCATTCTCTATTAAACACCAGTATATAGTTAATAAAAGATTTACTCTGTGTGGGTTGGTGCATAAGCGTAAAATACAGACAAACTGAATTACAGACAGCAGACAACTGTTTTTCCTCCACTCTTTAAGGTGGAGGGCTGAGGAGAGAGGTTTTTGTTTTCCTACTTCTTAAGTCAGTAAATCTCCCCAGCCGCACTTCTGAAGCTTGACTGGGAGAAGAGGCAGGGACATTACTGCCTCTGGCACACAAAACAATTAGGATTCCAAGCATTCATTTCACACAGTAGAGAAGATGACTTTTGTCAAGGAAAACAGTGTGTCCAAGAGATTTTTCTCCCAAACACAAAACCAGGGGCTATGCCCCTTTGATAAGGCAGACGCTTGGCTTAGTTCTCTCTTTTCTTTCAGTAGTGTTTCTCCAACCACAGCCAGGACTTTCTGGTTAACAACAACTCTGAGTGTACTTTGCCTTTACCTCTTGAATCTTTTATCTCTGAATTCATATCATGGAGAAAAGGGAGAAACACTTATAAAAAAAAATTTACGGTTGTAATTTGTGTCCAGTTTGCACAGAAACAAAACCACCGCCAAATATGGCTCATTCTTAGTCAATGGGTAAATTCAGTTAAAATACTGATGATTTGGTGTCTCTATCTGAACCTCAGGTTTTGCTTGTTAGTTTGGTTAACTACTTCTGTTCCTTTGAAAATAATGACATGTTGAAAAACTTTCCTGGGTTCTAGAATATTGAAAGGATTTGATATTAACTGTTTATTTAGCAATTGTAAGATACTATTCTGTGTTCATGTCATAAATACCAATATGGATCATAAACAGAAGTACATACAGATTTTACCTCTACTCAGAGGCTGAAAGATGAGTTTGAGTTAAGTTGCTTCAGGAGTTCTTTGAAAGGTATGGAGAGGGCAGTGAAACAATAAATACTTGATTCCTGATCAGAAAAGTAAGCTTTATCTAGAGTTTTTATAAAAGTAAACAAAAGTACCTTTAACTTAACAAGATCACAGGTTAAGCTAAATGTACTATACATGGTTTTTACACAATTTATTGATGCTTCCATCAGTAAAGAAAAAGGGAAAGCCTTCTTATACAGGTTTTTATTAGGGTAATAGAAAGCTAGATAATATAGAATAATTATTTTAAGATAGCCCTAAATACAAATGTGATGCCAAAATTTGGCATGTGAGGTTTTAACACAATAGCATATAATTCACCACTATTATTTTAATGGAAAAATTGGGTTCATTTTTGTCTAATTTGTATAAATTAAAAGTTTTAAGAGTATCAGATACTGTAAAACTGACAGCTAACTCAGGATAATAAAATTTTTGTAATCAAAGTTACAAGAAGACAGAATTATAATTTAATTAACATAACAATAAATGGTAATTGATAAGTGCATATTATCAAACCAAAAAATGTGGTTTCATTCTGCTTCTAGTATACTCTGCAACAACTGGTTATAGTTAAGATATATCACAGTTGTGGTTATATGAATCCAAACTTATAATTTCAACACTTAAACTGGTTTCTTAATATACATTCATAATATGTAATGTATCATTAAAAACATTACATTTAAATACCATGTTAAATTTGGTTAATGTCTAATTTTCAGTATGGTACTTTGAAATATACATACATATAATATGTACACAAATATATTCTAAATGTCTCATACAAAGAATAATTGCCTTTCCATCCTAGGAAAATTGCATGAGAGCACTGTTACAATGTACTCTGCAGGTCTGCAATCCCATTACATTTTATAGGTGTGTAAATGGGCTATTAATTACTTCTATGATTTTGTATTATAAATATGAGCTATTATATCAATTATAATGACTGATACCTGGGAAGTATACTATATTTACCCTCATTTTCATAAGGACAGACTTCTTGGACCCTTGATGAATGTTTTCAAATGTGGTTTAGGTTTCATGAAAACTGGCACAAGAGACTCAACGACTTTGCCCTCTGCCTACCATCACTCTTTTGCTTTCTACTATTATACATATATGCACCAGCCATACACAGAGCACATACATAAACACACAAATATTTCAAAATGAGAAAATGTCTAACAATACTGCATAGGACACTGACGTGGTAATACAATCAGCATATGTACCCAGATGCTACTATTATCAGAACATCGGTTATTCTCATGACATAGGAGTTTGTCTCTTCTCCCTCAGTCTCCTTCATAGAACAGTTAAGTTTCTTTTAAAGAAAGGGAAAAATTGATGCTTAGAAACATGGTGTTTTTAATCTGATCTTGCCTTCTGGCTTACCCTCGAGATTGTGTATTTGTGTGTGTATGTATGTGTAAAAATCACATTATATACAATACAATTTTTACAGAAAGCCTGGCAGCTACAAATAAGAGGTAGAACTACTCAAAACTATGTTTCCTGCTGCAGGAAAAAATTCATTTTCTTTACAGTAATTAAAAAAAAGTTTTAAAAATTGACAAAAAATAAGTTGCAGGTTAGGCCCCATAATTTAAACAACAAAATCTAGGAAGAAAAATATTCTTCAATGTACTCAACAGATAAGTTCATTAAAGGGTTAAAAAAAGTTGCATAGGAAAAAAGGGACATTCCAGCACTTGCTACAATGATGGCAATAGGGAGTAAAGTACCTTCAGTTTTTCTTCTTTTGATAACTCTAAGATTAGGGTTTACAAGCAAGAGCAAGTTAGAATAGCAGCACTTTTTCCAGTCCCGGAGAGCTCTATAAGAAAGAAGGGACTCTGTCTGGAGGTCAAGGTTTGTTCTACCAGACAAAGACAAGCCAGTAAGCACAGCTCCAAAGCTAAAGTTGTAAGTTCCTTCAATATTTTAATAAAAGGTGTTATAAAATCCTTAATACTTTTATCCTCTGCTTAATAGAGGCAAAGGACAGGGTCTGTGCATGTCTTGAGTGACAGAAGAATTGGGTTATCAGAGGACACATCTGAACGTTTAAGAACAAAAGGGGGATTCCTCAGATGCTGTTTTTAAAGAACGGCGCACTATTACCTTGATCGTATCTATGCAAGAGAGAAGCAGAGAGAGCACTGTATTATTTGGCCAGTGACCAAAAACTGAGACAAAACGAAAGTTAAAAAATAAACAGCCAAACAAAAACGAAGAACATGAACAACAAAATGTCAGTTTTAAGAAAGACAAATAGGTTACAATGTAGTTTCTGTTCCCTTGCTCCTCCAGAAATAATCATTGTCTTCAGGCTCAAGTTCTATTCTAATTTGAGGCACAACTTTTACTGGAGTTCTAGGAGGACTAGAGAAAATGAAGAACAAAAAACTAGTAAGTAAATCAGATTTTCTTTATCATCTGTCAAATGTATATGCATTGTATAGAAGTAAAATGTGTCCTTCTTTGTTCTCTTTTAATACTTATATCCTCTTTGTCTATTAAAAACAAACATTTTAAAGGGGATGAAGGTATCAGCAGAGTAAAAAAATTCAAGTAAAATATTTCAGCAGATCTCATACCTAGATTAAAACAATAAAAACAAACACAAAAGGAAAAGAAGCACTACCAGGTGAGCAATGCTGTCCGAAATTAGGGGACAAAAAGGCTGACATAATAAAAACATTCAGAGATTTCAGAAAATCAATTAGAACCTGAAATCTCTAGAATTTTGTTAAGAGGGAAGGAAACCACTGAAGAAGAGCTATCAGAAAGTGCCAGTTACCAGCCAGGCACGGTGGCTCATGCCTGTAATCCCAGCATTTGGGGAGGCCAAGGCGGGTGGATCACCTGAGGTTGAGAGTTTGACACCAACGTGAAGAAACCCCATCTCTACTAAAAATACAAAAATTGGCTGGGTGTGGTGACACATGCCTGTAATCCCAGCTGAGGATTGCAGGGGACTCGTTTGAACCAGGGAGGTGAAGGTTGTGGTGAGCCGAGATCGGGCCATTATATTCCAGCCTGGGCAACAAGAGTGAGACTCTGTCTCAAAAAAAAAAAAAAAAAAAAGTGCCAGTTATCTCTTCAAAGCAGGGATGACACCAAAATTAGAAGAGCTAATGCTGATCCTGGGCTGTGAATTAATGAAAGATTCTATTATTTTTAAGAGTAAGTAGATCTCTTAGAATGCTTTCTACTAGTAAAAGCTGGAACAAGTTTTGATCACTGAGTAATTTATTTAAGAAAAATCATAGAGAGGAAGGAGAACAAGAAGTTCTGTCAATAACCCACCATGAACTACCTTTCTGTGGGGCAATTATCCCACAGAACAACGTAAAATATGGGGCTCTCCTTTACCTTGGCAAACCGAGTGACTGAAGGAAAGGAATTTTATCAGCATGATGTGTGGCGTTCAAGGAATGTTGGTGATCTTTCTCCTAAAAAATAAAATATTTTAAAACATAAATAGTAAGTCTTTGGTAAAGTATAAAATAAAAATCTTCACAAAAGGATGCATCTTCCATAACTAGAAAGAGTAAAAAAGTCAAGTTTAGACACTTCAATAAACAATGTATTAAGCTAAGACTCTAGTGTGATGAAGACAAAATCACTTAGTTTCCTTTACTTTAGGTTTTCTGAGAGGGGTCACTGTTGTCTTGTCAGTTAGAAGGACAAACAGCAAATCATTTTTAGAGGGTGATAGCATTCTCCTAAAGTCTAAGGCTTGCTCTTGGATTTCCTTCTATCTTCAGAATTCCTAAGTTGGCCTTGCTGTTGTTCACAGGGAAAAAAAGATTTTTTTTTTTTGAGTTATTTACTTATACCACAACACTGCTTCTATCAGTTTTGTTCTTTCATGGATGATAAAGATCAACATGACATTAGGAAACATTTCAGGCAAAATGCTCATGTGTATTTCATTTAAGTAAATTTCTAATATCAACTTGCAATTTTTCCCTTAAAAGGGGTTTTGAGAAGGTAAAGGACAATTGGCACATAAACTTTGTCCGTGACTCTCAAATGCTGGCTAGTGATTTTTTTAATCGCTTTTACATTTATTGATATGGGGCTATTCCAGATTATAATGCCAACAGAAAACTTACATGCTAGGCACATGTATGTTACTATCTGCTTTTGCTGTTAATGTTCCATTGATAAAAAATGAAGTCAGAACATGGTTTGAGGAGCTTAAATTCAAAAAGAAATCTGTAACAAAACTCCATTAATAGGAGTTAACAGAAATTAGCCTCAGTTACAAGTTATAGGTTACAAACTGGAACCAACGGTAAGACTACTTTAGTTCTTTGTTCTTGAATTCCATGCTGGTAGCCAGCCTCCCAGATGGGTCTCAGAGATCCCTGTCTCCTGGTATTTATGACTGTGTAATTCTTTCCCACAGTGTTAAGAGTGTGGGTCTGCACAACCTTCAGAATACGACAGAAGTAATCTGTTACTTCTGAGATTAAGTTATAAAAGACTGTAGCATCTGTCTTAGTTTCTTTCTCCTTTATCACTGGCTTTGAGAGAAGCCATATCATGGGCAGCCCTATGGAGATACCCACAGGTAAAGAAACAAATGTCATGCCATGGCCCTCATGAGTGTGCTTTTGGAAGCAGATCTCCAGCTCCAACCAACTCTTCAGAGACTAAAATATTTAATGGGACCCTCAGGGAGTGGATACCTATGCTGTCAAGAATGTTTATTATAGAGATTTGCAGAAGAAGAAACAAAACCTGGTCTGTTCTAGAATTCATGTGTTTCCTTAAAGTCTTAGCACAAATGACTTTATTTTGGTTTGATTTGGTTTGGTCTGTTGGGGCCTAGTGCATGAGCTTAGTTCAGAACAATGGCATCCCAGAATATTGTTTAAAAAAATTCCACCCTTTTAACCAAGTTCATTTCCTCTTGTCTAGAGACCATCAAGCTTCAGATGATCATGGAACATAGGTTTCAGCCAGCCAGTTCCAGGTGAAGATACCACCCCTGTCCATCAAGGAGCTACCCTGCCTCTACTAGACAAAGCAGGAAGAAAGTTCAGTGATCCACAATAGGTAGGTACTATGCCCCAAGCCAGAATGAAGCAGATACAGAAAAAAACCACTGGTCCCTCTGCTTCCCATGAATCTTTAGGGAGATCACATCTCTCAATGAGGAGATGAGGCAGGAAAAAGGTCTGGAGGCAGGGAACGTAAGGCTGAGTCACACTTCAGCTACAATATCCTCTCCATGGGGCGTAGGCCAAGTAAATGACTTTGTAACTTTACTTCATCCTCTTCATTTACATAGGGCACATCCCAAGTAGGGGGTATTTAAACTCTCCAAAATTTTGTAATGGGAGCCTTGAGCCCCTATGCTCAGGCCCGCTCTCACACTGTGGAGCATATTATCGTTTTCAAGAAATTCCTTCATTTTTAAAAAAAAGTCTTCGGAGACTCAACCCCAGCTGATGACAGCTTTGAGTGCAATCTCACTAGAAACTGAGCCAGAACCAAATCAGTTGCCCCTGCATTTCTGAATGTCAGGAATTGTGTAAGAAAATATGTTTGCTATTTTAAACTGCTAAGTTTTGCAGCAATTTGTTACTCAATGATTGGTAACTAATATACCTTTTTTTTTAATCAATAGACATTCATTCCAAACTTTTCTTGATAACAGTAATCTCTTATTGAAGTCGAGGTGGCATGGCAAAATAAAAATAAAAGTGTCTTAACTGTAACAGATCAGTGTACTTTGAAGTACATCTGAATCTAAAAGGATGCATTTTCTTCAATGAGAACGCAAAGTGGAAAATAGCTTCATGGCAACTGCTACCTACTACTGGAAAGTCTGAAATGGTCACTAACATTACTGTAGAGGTTTATCCCATTTCTAAGAGACCTGTTAATTCAATTACAGGAGGAAAAATGTCACAAGCTATTGCACTGTAGCCACCAGGCTATTACCCTAGAAAGACCAGTGCAGTTATAATGATAATTTTGAAATAGCAAAAGAGGGGATGAAGAAATTAGAAAGCAAATGCATATAAGTTATATCTAGAAAGTTGTGCTAATACTTCAATTTCGAATTTAATCAAAATAATAATTTTTCCAAATTATCAATATTAACAGTTTATTTATTGATCAATTTCTCTTTTGAGCTGATTTGATCATTGGTTAAAACCTAAGGAAGACAAACAGTGACAGTGATGTAGTATTATAAGCTGCAATTCTAAATACCAGCAGGAAAAAAAGAGAAAAATCAATTAAAACATGGTTATTAATTTAGCAATTGGAAAAACTGGGGATGATTTGGGGGAGAGAAAAGACTACCAAATAAAAATTTTAAAGGTTATGAATAAAAGGAAGAAGTTAAAAGTGAAGCTTAGGGCATAGGGTATATAAAAATAAAGTTTTATTATATTAAGTGTAAATCTTCTCACAGAAAAAATGAAAAACAAAATCGGGGGACAGTTAATGCAGATGGCAATTCTAAAGTGTTTTTTCTGTAAGTGCAAATCATATTCAAGCAAGCAAGCAAGAGGTTAGTTCTACTCACTGTCGGAAGGTTTGCTATCGCTTAGGAAAGGTTGCTGTTCCATGATGTCCATTGGAATTTTAATACTTGGAACTTTTTCTGAGTATGGGCAGTCAGACTGTGAAAAAAATGTACAACAGATTTTAGAATATTTTTATTATACAACCCTTCCTATCTCCCAGTATCGATCAAACCTTTCATATAATCATTTACTTAATACTAAGAAGAAAATTACTTCTAGTTTGCTAGCTTTTAACTGCACGGCTTCTTTCTCCCTCATGTTTGTTTTCACTCTTCTCAGTTGATGGTATTGAGTCAATTAAAACTAGAACTATACCAAATAGAGATCACTGCAACTGAATTGCAACGCTTTCTATAAGTTAGACTCCCAATCAGCAAATGTCTATAAGTTGTATGTGTGAAGCAAATTTTCTCAATGCAAAAACAGATTAAAGTTAGGAAACTTCCTAAATTATCAATGGTCTTGAAACTCTTGTTTCTGCTGATTCTGTCTTTACAAAAATCATGACCCATCTTTCTTCTAAAACAAACAAGTGACAGACTTTTTAAATATCCACGATCAAGGAGCCTTCTATGTACACTAGAAAATAAACTTTCCTCATTTACTCTAAGTACTATTTTATGAGTAAAGGTTCATTTTGATTAGCTTGTTCCAAAGACATCTGAAAATGTAAGCAAAATGTAAGAAAATAAAATGTTTAAAAAGGTGTCTATGATGGTTAGATAAGCAGATCTTAACCAGAATAAAACAAAAAAAACCAGGCAGGTAATCATAGGACTGCTTAAAGAAAAGGCCACCTACCCCCAATCTATAATAGATTTCCCAAAGATTATCACTTTGCTTTGTTAAATTGCATTATATTGATTCTATGTTTGGACTCAAAAACCAATATATCTCTTAACTGAAAGTAACAAAAAGATCATCTTTAGTTGAAAAAAAATGTTAACATAAAGCTTATTACCCACGTGGAAAATTTTCTTATGATGACTCTAAAGAAGTTAATGAACTACAGTATCCTTTAAGAGAACTAATATAATGCACTCCAACTGGCAAAACAGAATAAAAAAGATGCCACATAACACAATATTAAATGTAAATGGACTAAATGCCCCAATTAAAAGATACAGCCTGGCAAACTGGATAGAGTCAAGACCCATCAATGTGCTGTATTCGGGTGACCCATCTCATGTGTAAAGACACACATTGACTCAAAGGGATGGAGGAAGATACCAAGAAAATGGAATGGAAAAAAAAAAGTGGGAGTTGTAATTCTAGTCTCTAATAAAACAGATTTTAACCAACAAAGATCAAAAAAGACAAAGGAGGGCATTACATAATGGTAAAGGGATCAATGCGACAAGATGAGATAATTATCCTAAATATATATGCACCAATACAGAAGCATCCAGATTCTTAAAGCAAGTTCTTGGAGACCTACAAAGAGACTTATACTCCCACACAATAATAGTGGGAGAATTTAACACCCCACTGTCAATATTAGACCTAATGAGACAGAAAATTAACGAGGACATTGAGGACTTGAACTCAGCTCTGGACCAAGTTGACTTACAGACATTTACAGAACTCTCCACCACAAATCAACAAAATATACATTCTTCTCAGCACCACATCACACTTATTATAAAATTGCCCACATAATTGGGAGTACAACACTCCTCTGCAAATGCGAAAAAAAAAAAAAAAAAAAGGAAATCATAACAGTCTCTCAGACCACAGTGCAATCAAATTAGAACTCAGGATTAAGAAACTCATTCAAAATCCCACAACTACATGGAATCTGAACAACCTGCTCCTGAACGACTACTTGGTAAATAGTGAAATGGAGGTAGAAATAAAGATCTTTGAAACCAATGAAAACAAAGACACAATGTACTCAGAAT